GACAAGCCAAGTGGCTCTTCATTTCTTTTTCTTTTTTTATTTTTTTATTTTTCTTTTTTGCTGCATTTGCTTTAATTGCTGGTTTGCTGCAGCAGCAGACTCACGCGCTTTTGCTGCTGCTTTCCTTTTGCTGCTGCTGCTGCTGCTCTTTTTTTGCAGCTGCTTTCTTTTTGCTGCTGCTTCCATCTTGCTGCTGCTGGTTCCTTGCTGCTGCTGCTGGTTCCTTGCTGCTGCTGCTGCTGCTGCTGCTGCTGAGGCTTTAAATGCATTGTTGCTCTTTGCACACATTTAAAACATCGAGTAAAACATTTAAATAAAATTTATATTGAAATAAAATTAATATTTAAATGTAATTAATTTTAAAGAAAGTTTATTTTAATTTTTTAATTCCCAAGACAGTTATTCCTTTAATTGTGAAATTTAGTCTTTTTCTGTGAAGTGTTCAAATGCATTCACTCTTTGCTGTTTGTCCAACTTCCTTCACGTCTCCGGGATTCAGCTGCTGCCGCTGCTGCTGCTGCTGCTGCTGCTGCTGCTGCTGCTGCTGCTGCTGCTGCTGCAGGGACTGTACACGGACCCGAGGGACCAGAGTTTGTGGCAGTATTACTTTCGGCTGTTGTCTCCGAGCCGCGCGGAGTGTACAGACAGCTTGTTGGCAGTGCGCTGCTTCTCTCCAAATAATTTTCTTCACACTTTTTTTTTCTTCTTCAAACTGCCCTGCGCAGTGGCAGCAGCACACACCCGCGTCTTCCTGCTGCAGCAAGGCGGTACGCAGCAGCAGCAGCAGCAGCAGCAGCAGCAGCAGCAGCAGCAGCAGCAGCGGGTGGGGGGTTGCTGTGCTTTAGGAGATAGTTCTAGTTCCGCAGAAAGCTGCTTTTACATATATTCATATTTATTCGTATTTGTATTTATATTTATATTTATATTTATATTTATATTTATATTTATATTTATATTTATATTTATATTTATATTTATTTGTATTGGTGTGCGGGTGCGTGTGCATGCGTTGGGGTGTACGTACACCTCGCAGCCACGGAGCCGACGCCGCTGGTGGGCGAGTGGTCGCCACTTTCTGCATTTTTCGTTTTTCGGACGGGCGGCTGCATGCCAGAGTGCGTTTGAAAGGAAATAAAAGATAAAAAGCATTTAATTAGAACTAATTGGCGAAAGAATTCCTCAAAACGGCGCCAAACTCGAAACTTCCTGCGCCCCCGCGCCCCCGCGGCTTGGGGTGTACGTACACCCCAGCGCCGCAGCGTCTTCTTTTTGCTGCAGGGAAAGCAGCAGCTTTTCGGAAGCTGAAGTGTCTGCAGTTTGGCGCTTTACAGTAACTTCGGGAGAGTCTTCAGAAGCAGAAAAGAATTCTTTTTTTGAGTTTTCAAAAGTCCAGTTTCTCTTTGTCCACTTTGCTGTTGCTGCTGCTGGGGGCCCCGTCGCAGACGCAGGCCAAGGCATTGCTGCCTTTTACCTCCAAAGACTTTTTGCTGCTGCTCCGAACTTAAAAAGTCCTTTTTGCTTCTCAGAGGAGGCCCCGCAGCAGGGCTTTTCCTGGCTCTGCTACGGCCTCGCTCCCGAAGCTCCTGCTGCTGCTGCTGCTGCTGCTGCAGAGGGCGCAGCAGCAGCAGCTGGCGCTGCAGCAGCAGATGGCGCAGCAGCAGGTGGCGCTGCAGCAGCGGCTGGCGCTGCAGCAGCAGATGCCGCAGCAGCAGACGGCACAGCAGCAGCAGGTGTTGCAGCAGCAGCAGACGGCGCAGCAGCAGCAGCAGAGGGCGCAGCAGCAGCAGCAAAGGGCGCAACAGCAGCAGGCGGCGCAGCAGCAGCAGATGGCGCAGCAGCAGCAGGAGGTACTGCAGCAGCAGCTGCTGCAGCGGGGGAGCAAACCAGCCGCTGGGCCATTGTCAGCAGAGTGGACTCCAGCGGCTGCTGCTGCGCATGCAGCAGCGGGAGCGGGGCTGAGGAGCTGCAGCAGAGCGCTGCTGCAGTTGCTGCAGCAGCAGCAGCAGCAGCAGCAGCAGAGGCTGCTGCTGCTGCTGATGGGAAGCTGCCGCGCCACATTAGCCCCTCTTTAGCTGCTGAAGAGCTGCAGCGAATTGAAGAGCTTCTGCTGCTGGAGCCCAACTGCAGCAACGCCTATTTGGCCATGTGTGTCTTTTATTTTATTTTATTTTATTTTTATTTTATTTTATTTTATTTTATTTTTATTTTTATTTTTATTTGTTTTATTATTTATAATATGTATGCCATTTGGCTTCAAGGGGCCTTTTTGCTGCCTTTGCATGCGCTTTGTCTTGTCCTTATTAGTTTATTTCTGCTGCCGATCTTGTGGATTTGTTGCTGCCTTTTTTGCCATTCTTTTCTTTTTATTTTTTTCTTTTCTTTTTTCTTTTATGTTATCTTTTATTTTCAATCTTTTCTTCGATCTGCCGCAGCAGCTTTTTGTTTTCTTTTTTAATATTTTTTTCAATTCATTCATACCCCTCATCCCTACCACTCGCTGCCGCTGCTGCTGCTGCCGCTGCTGCTGCTGCTGCCGCTGCTGCTGCTGCCGCTGCTGCTGCTGCTGCTGCTGCTGCTGCTGCTGCTGCTGCTGCTGCTGCTGCTGCTGCAGGTCGCGTTTGCTGCGGGCTTTGGCCCCCCACGACTTTTCGAAAATGTGGAAATGTTTGGAAGGGCTCAAAGGCTCTGCAGACTTTATTCCTGGGGTGTACAGACAGGAGGTGGCTTGCTGCAGCATACGGTGACTGAGCAGCAGCAAATTAATTTATTGAAATTAATTTACTCTTTTTGTGGAATTGCATTTATGGAAAGTTGAACATTTAATTATTTCATTAAATCGCATTTATATATTTTTGATTAACTTCCTCTTACTAAATCGTATTAATAAAGAACTGAACTATTGTTAAGTCGTATTAATAAAGAAGTAAACAATTAATTTGCTTTAGTTAAATTGCATAATAAAGAATTATGCAATTATAAATGATTTATTTTCATTTAATAAACCATTTCGTAATTCCCACACAAACGCAGCTTTGCGTTTAAGAGTTGATGTTGAAGGACTTGTTTTTGAATTAAGTTTTTGAATTAATTGCGAATGACTAAATATGTTTTTGAATTAAGTTTTTGCATTAATTGCAACTGACTAAATATGTTTAAATCATTTCCTAAATGCAATTTAAATGGCTGCTGGTTTGTCTTCCACTTCCGTAGATGGTGCTGGGGTGTACGTACAGCCGCAGCAGCTCGCGAAGGGAAATTCCTTTTGGAAATAAAAGAAAAGAAAAGAAATCAAAGACTTCTTTTGCTTTTTTATTTTCGAAAAAGACTGCTGGCTGCTGGGGTGTACGTACAGCGAGCTGGTCCACGAACAACTCTCGAAAAAGAATTCTTTTTTGAATTTAAAATTGGAAAACAAAAAAGAAATCGAAATTATTTCTTATCCGGTGTTGCTGGAGGCCACGGACGCGCACGCGTTGTCGCTGGCGGGCAGCGGCGTCACCGACAGGTTCGTCGAAATCTTCGGATTTTTTCTTTTTTTGATTCAAATTCTCGAATAAATTAATTAAATTAATTAATTTAATATTAAATTAATTAATTTAATTAATTAATTCAATTTATTTCATTCATTTCGCCAAATCCGCCGCTTTTCCCGCCCGCGCTGCATGCATGCGCTCGGGTGTACGTACACCGCAGCCTGCATGCATGCGCTCGGGTGTACGCACGCCTGCATGCGCTCGGGTGTACGTACACCGCAGCGCGCTGCTGGACTGGCACGTGCCCTATTTGCCCTTTCTCCGTTCTTTGAATTTGAGCGCCACAAATATAACTTTGCTTTCCCTCGTTCTCCTCTCCGTCGCGCAGCTGCCGCGCATTCGCAAGTCAGGCCCTTTCGCTTTTGCTGCTGCAGTGCTGCTGCTGCTGCAGTGCTGCTGCTGCTGCTGTGCTGCTGCTGCTGCTGCTGCAATAGTGCTGCTGTTGCAATGCTGCTGCAGTGCTGCTGCTGCTGCTGCTGCAGTAGTGCTGCTGTTGCAGTGCTGCTGCTGCTGCTGCAATAACGCTGCTGTTGCAGTGCTGCTGTTGCTGTAATGCTGCTGCTGCTGCACTGCTGCTGCTGCTGCTGCTGCTGCTGCTGCTAGTTTGCTGCTGTAAAGAGTTTCACTTAAAGATTGCCACTTTGCTGCTGCAGGGTAAATTTGGCCTTTTCTAAGTTGAGTCCTTTCGAAGAAGATGAAATGCTTTGCGAAGAAAGTCTGCAAAGGGCTCTGCAGCAGTCTTCTTTGGAGTGAGAAATTAAAAGTTTTTTTTGAATTTATTTCCAAGTTTTTCTTCAAATTTAATTCAAGTTTTTATTTTAATTCGAATTTATTTTCAAGCTTTTGTTCAAATTTAATTCAAGTTTTTATTTTAATTCGAATTTATTTCCAAGTTTTTGTTCAAAGTTATTAATTCCAAGTTTTTGTTTTAATTCGAATTTATTTTCAAGTTTTTGTTCAAATTTATTGCAAAAGTTTTTTGTTTTAATTCGAATTTATTTTCAAGTTTTTGTTTATTGTATTTGTGTTTTGATTCGAATTTAATTCAAAGTTTTGTTCAAATTTAAACTTAAGTTTTTTATTTCAATTCAAATTTAATTCAAGTTTTATTTCGAATTTAATTTGAAGTTGTGAATTTAAATTTGCATTTTTGAATTAGAATTAGATTAATAAATTTGAATTTGCAATTTGGATTTAAATTCAAATTTGGGTTTTTTTGTTTTTCATTTTCTTTTTGCAAAATTTTATTTTTCAAATTTAATTTGCTGCGAATGCTGCACCAACTCGCGCACATTTATTTCCAAATTTATTTTGCAGATTTATTTTATTTTGCAAATTTATTTCCAAATTTATTTCCAAATTTATTTCCAAATTTATTTTGCAAATTTATTTTGCAAATTCATTTTGCAAATTTGTTTTCAAATTTATTTTGCAAATTTGTTTTACAAATTTGTTTTCAAATTTATTTTCAAATTTGTTTTGCAAATTTGTTTTGCAAATTTTTGCGAGTTTATTCGCAAATTTGTTTTGCAAATTATTTTCAAGTTTACTTTGCAATTTATTTTGCGAGTTTATTCTGCAAATTTGTTTTCCAGTTTATTTTGCAATAAGTTTGCAAAATAAATCTGCAAAATAAAAATAAATTTGCAAAATGAAAATAAATTTGCAAAATAAAAATAAATTTGCAAAATGAACTTGTGAAATAAACGTTTGCAAGTTTATTTTGCAAATTTATTTTTATTTTGCAAATTTATTTTCATTTTGCAAACTTTTCCAAGTTTTTGTGCCGTCTCCATTTCACTTCAAGATTAAGTGGCGCAAAGAAAGGAATGAAAGGAATGAAATAAAATGAAATGAAATTAACTTAAATAAAATTAAATAAAATGAAAAGAAGTAAAATGAAATGAAAATAAAATGAAATAAATTAAGCGAAATAGAATGAACTGAAAATGAAATGAAATGAAATGAAATAAGTGGAATGAAATGAAATGAAATAGAAATGAAATGAATCAAAATGAAATGAAATGAAATGAAATGAAATAAATGAAATGAAATGAAATGAAATGAAATGAAAATGAAATGAAAATGAAATGAAATAAAATGAAATAAATGAAGTGAAATGAAATGAAATGAAAATGAAATGAAATGAAATAAATGAAGTGACATGATATGAATTAAAATGAAATGAAAACAAAATGAAGTGAAATGAAATAAAATGAATTAAAACGAAATGAAATGAAACGAAATGAGATGAAATGAAATGAATTTCATTTGCGCTGCGCTGTTCAGGTGTATAGACATCTCGTGGACGCCGCTGGCCGCCTCGCTTTCTCCTTCGAAGTTAATTTGTGGCCACTTCGAAGTGGTTTTTGAAAATGAAGAAAACAAAATGGAAAATAAAAGAGAAAATAAAGAAGAATTGGAAAAAGAATTGGAAAAAGAAACGCAAATTTGCCTGTTAGTTCGAGCTCGCGGCTCGAATGCAGCTGAAAGAATGAGTTGTTCTTTTGAAAGCAAATAAAATGCAAATTGTTCTTTTGAAAGTTATTTAATTTAAATTTGAATTGTTGTTTGAAAATAAATGTGAATTTTTCTTTGAAAGTTTACAAACACTCTTCAGCCACTAGGACTTCTCAGCGGCTAACACTGCAGCGCGGCAGCAGCAGCAGCAGCAGCAGCAGCAGCAGCAGCAGCAGCTGCTGCTGCTGCTGCTGCTGCTTCTCGATTTTTGTACTCGTTTGTACTTTGCTTCAGCTTCTTTATTTTGCTGCTGCTGCTGCTGCCGATTTATTTATCTTGCTGCTGCTCCCAGCTTACTACTTTGCTGCTGCTGCCGCCTATTTACTTTGCTGCTGCTCCCAGTTCATCTATTTTGCTGCTGCTCCCAGTTCATCTATTTTGCTGCTGCTGCTGCTGCTCCCAGTTCATCTATTTTGCTGCTGCTGCTGCTATTTCGTCTATTTTGCTGCTGCTCCCGGCTTACTTACTTTGCTGCTGCTGCAGTTAATTTTGCTGCTGCTCCCGGTTTGACTGTTTGCTGCTGCTCCCAGCTAATGTACTTGCTGCTGCTCGCAGCTGATCTATTTTGCTGCTGCAGCAGCTGCAGCAGCAGCAAAGTTGCTGCAGCAGCAGCTGCAGCAGCAGCAAAGTTGCTGCTGGAAGGGGACAAAGGAATTAAAGAACTTGAAAAGGAACTGAGGAATTAAATAGTTGGGAATTGAATTGCATTTAATTCCACTTTTGTTTATTCCAAACAAAACTTGCAATTAAATTAAGTTCAATTTCGAAAGTTGTTTTCGATTTAATTTAATTCCACTTTTGTTTATTCCAAACAAAACTTGCAATTAAATTAAATCGAAAACAACTTTTGAAATTGAACTGCATGTTTCGTTTGAAGGGCGTTTTGAATTCAACTTTGTTTGCAGCACTTTTGAATTTAATTCACTTTTTGAATTTAATTCCCTTTTTGAATTTAATTCACTTTTTGAATTTAATTAAATCCAACTTTTTGAACTTAATTAAATTCAACTTTTTGAGTTTAATTAAATTCAACTTTTTGAATTTAATTGGATTCAATTTTTTGAATTTAATTAAACTCAACTTTTTGATTTAATTGAATTCAACTTTTTGAATTTAATTAAATTCAACTTTGAAGGAAAGCTTTCGAATTAAATTCAACTTCAGTTCGGACCAGCTTTTGAATTTAATTCAACTTTGGGTGTAAATGGCACTCCGAATTAAATTCAACATAACTTCAACTTGGATTGTTTTTTGAATTGAATTTGACTAATTCTGAGAGCTTTCTGCAGCAGAAGTGGAATTAAATTCAACATAACTTCAACTTGGATTGTTTTTTGAATTGAATTTGACTAATTCTGAGAGCTTTCTGCAGCAAAAGTGGAATTACATTCAACATAACTTCAACTTGGATTGTTTTTTGAATTGAATTTGACTAATTCTGAGAGCT